GGTGGATTCGAACTGCCAACCTTTTGGTTAGCAGCCGTAGCTCTTAACCACTACGCCACCACGGTTTCCATTTTAATACATACATACATAAAAAAATACCCAGATCATAAATATTTACTCTGACGATGAAGAGTTGGACGACATTGGCATTTTGTCAGTTGTGGTAATGACTCTACTTGTAGAAGAATCTGGATCATTTGGATTATCCCTGGGAATGAAGATGGCATTTCTAGTCAGAAAATTAGTGAGAGTTGTCTATATTGTCCTTCTCTTTTTTTTCATCGTATATTTCGCAGTAACATCTTACTGCTTCCCGAATCTATTTATTTGAGCAAAGCAATCAGCGTTTGGGTCCATGTTTTCAAGCAACTAAAGCCCCTGATTTGGAAACCCTGGTGGCTTAGTGGTTAAGAGTTCAGCTACTAACCAAAAGGTCAGCCGTTGGAATCCACCAGGCGCTCCTTGGAAACTCTATGGGGCAGTTCCACTTTGTCCTATAGGGTCGCTATGGGTCAGAATTGACTGGATGACAGTGGGTTTTTTTTTTTTTTTTTTTTGGTAAAGCCCCTGATTTAGTTTAGGAAACTAAATCTTTGCAGCGGTATTTTCAATAGTAAATCATTAAACTAAGCATACGTGAGTGAACATCTGAGAATGATAACATCAACAAATTACGCACTGCAACATTGTGTGTAGTACATGTTATTAATGACAAAAGGTACAAAAGAAAAGGATAGTCAAAAGAGGGGTTCATTGTAACTTGAATATTTTCTAAGTCGGGGACTACCTCTATATTCTTTGTAGAAATATCTATTCAAGTCCTTTGCCTATTTTTAAATTGTGTTGTTTGTCTTTTTGCTGTTGAGTTGTAGGAGTTCTTTATATATTCTGGATATTAAACCCTTATCAGATATATGGTTCCCAAATATTTCCTCCCATTCTGTAGGTTGTCTCTTCACTTTGTTGGTAAAGTACTTTGATTCATAAACATTTTTCATTTTAATGAAGTCCCCTTTATCTTTCTTTTGTTGCATGTGCTTTTGGCGTCATGTTGTACATGTAGAAAATGTCGAATTGGCAAATATTGTGTTATCTGTATTTTTAAAATAAAAAAATTAAAATTAAAAAACAAGATCTTGAACCTTTGCTTCTATGTTTTCGTCTAAGAGTTTTACAATTTTAGTTCTTATAATTAGGTCATTCATTCATTTTGAATTAATTTTTTGTATATGGTGTGACGAATGGATCCAACTTAATTCTTAATTCAACACAAGCCCTATCAAAATTCCAATAGCTTTTTCAGAAAAGGAAAAGCCAGTTCTCAAATTCATATGGCACTGGAAGTGTACTATTTGTGAAAAAATCTTGAAAAAGAAGAACAAAGTAGGAGGACT